GGCAGTACCTCACTGCCTGTATTGTGAGGCTTTGCAGGGGAACACTCCATGATGGAGTCCACGATGAAATTAAGCAAAAATGGGGAAACTGCACAACTCTGACGAACGCCACTTGTTGTCGGAAAGGTATCTGACAAACCACCGTAGACTCTGACGCGGCCTATTGTATTCAAGTACGGGACACGTAAAATGTTCACATTTCATGGGAACACATTCCCGCGCAAGTATTTCGAACAATATACATCGATCGAATGCACACTTGAAGTCAAGAAATACATCTATGGTCAGTCAGCGGTATGCGTGGTGCTGTTGTAGCACCTGACGCCGTTCAGGCTGAAAACTTGCATGCTCTTCCTTAATCCGGGATTCTCGCCCCCCAGCGAAGCGACGAACGAAAATTGAGGCAAGTAATTTTGTCACCACTGGCGCTACGCTAATACCTCTGTGGTTAGCACCACAGTCGGTGCGACTGCTCTTCTTGCATACTGCCACTATACTCGATTCACTCCAGTTAGCAGGGATGTTCTCTTCCTTCTAGACATGTTCAAACAGTGAGGTCAGTACTTTGCAGTGGGCTTCATCTCCATCCTTGAGTAGTGCATGCCAGCCCCTAGAGAGTAGTCGAGATAGCGCCATAGGGCGGACAAGTACCCCATAGCATTAGCATGGTGAGCAGTCATACCGAGTAGATTTCGCTACAGCGCACTTCAAGTACGCGGCAACATGCGTCCAAGTATTAAATAAAACCTAAATTCAGCTGTGGAATACCGATTGTAAAATAGCCAGCCTGCGTACGACGATGAGTAGTACTTCGTTGTGCTCAACACAGACTGTGTTGGAATTGCAGTTGTGGTAACTACGCTATCCATTAGCTACGCATCGGATCAGCAAAAGCTATAATGAAGTGGACGGCACGTCATTCGGGTGAGATAGGGCTTATTAGGACAACACATTACGAACACAATTAACGTATGCGAACGCATTCATGGACTGAAGTGTGCACATCTGGCGGTACAGCTGCAAAACTTGGCAGGAGAGCAAGTAAAAAAATGAACAAAGCTAGCATGGCAAGGATGTGCGCGACTCACCACCCGATCTAGTCTAAAGCACTAAAGACAGTCACATCGCAACTTGTCAGAAGTTGCGTTGGACCGACTCGGAGTGGCAGCAGCAGAAAACCGGGCATCACAGGAGGATAAAGTCTAATCGATAGGAACCGTGGAGCTTGTACACACAGAGTCTCAGAGATAATGGAATTATAAGCAGGTTACGCGCCTGTAAGCTGAATACGTGACGGCTACCCTGTAGACGGGGATCTACGCAGCAATCCCACTTGGCCCACGGCGGAATCGAACACAGGATGCTTGGGTGCAACACACGCGTAATTCTCCGTACAAGATGGGCAGTGTACACCAATGACGGTTTCCGGAGAGAGAGAGAGAGAGAGAGAGAGAGAATGCGAGCATGCGCGTTCTCGTTGGTAGAAGTGGACTGGCAACCAGATACAAGGAGAGGCCGTGTATCTATTATGCATGTCTGACAAACTGATGACGGCGGCAATAACCGTCAAATAGAAGGAATAACCGATGAGTTCCACGTCGACAAGTGCACAATTCTCCAGACCTCTCCAGTAGCTCATCTATTGTCCAATCCCGTGGGATCAATTGCACGAATGGTAATCGTTATAACGTGTCCTAGTAGTTTCGACTCAGTCGGAACGGACGAACGTTCTTCGCAGATAGTAACCCACGCGTGCGGAGTAGTCAAACGAATTCGTAACGCTACGGGCTAACAAGACCTACAGGCCAGACGTACATGCGAACTAAGACAGACGACTACGCGCAACCTAGCACCACTACACTGAAACTCGGACGAGAAAGAAGACTATCCGTTAGCAAGTTCTTTTGCTAACTCAGCCAAGGCGAAGCTTACCTTCTTTACCTTCAGTTTTATGGCTCAATATAATAACATAAACTATAATGATGGTTTCAGAAATTTAAGCCAGTTAATTCTCTTCAATAATTTGAAAAGCGCGGAAAGAAGATGAAGGCTGGTAGATGCGTGTATTTCGTATTGTCCCCTCAGTACCAATTCGCTGACGAACAACCAGGAGAAGGAACCTATTGCTCGTGATCCCAGTAAGTACGTGATGAATTTACCGAACGTACAACTTGATGCGTTGCAATTACAAGCATTATTACTTGGGCTTGATTACAAACGTTAAACGGCTTGTTTATAGAAGACCAATTTGAGAACTTTTTTGACCGGTTTAAGTAGCTCCAACCAACCAGCCCTGATAAGCTCATTTGCTTCAGAAACACTTAAAACGACATCACCCATGTGGTGAAAACCATGCCAGTTAATGAAAAATGCGTCATCACAGCTAGAAATTTTCAGGCCTTACGTGAACTACGAGCTAAGGACGTAGTCGTAATGAGACCGGATAAAGGTTCACGAGTGGTGATTATGAACAAAATCGAATACAATGAGAAGATGTGCGCCATAATCAACGATGCGAGTGAATTCGAACTGCTCACGAAAGTGGGGGACATAACCAATGTCGAAAGACGCATAGATCGTCACCTGGAATTGATTCTCCTCAACCGCGTGATAGACTGTGATACATTTAATAGTTTGAAGTCGAGTGGTAGCACTATTCCACAGTTGTATGGGTCCCCAAAGACACATAAGAGTGAAGTGCCACTCAGGCCAATCATTTCAACGATGAACGCGGCCCAGCATAAACTCGCTCGTTGGATAGTGAAGTTGCCATCTCCGCTGAAACAACAGTTCCATCCTTACAATCTTAAAGACCCGTTTAAACTCATCGGCGACCTGGATGAACTCAACCTGTCAGACAAAGTCATATGTTCTTTAGATGTAGAATGTTTATTTACCAACGTGGCGCTACATCAGACAGTTGATTACGTATGCGAATTAACTAAAACTAGTCGCTGTTCTCTACCAATTCCGACTGAATTGCTAAGAGAATCTCTATTATTGTGCACGGAGAATGTGGATTTTCACTTCCGGAATACACCTTACCGTCAAATTGACGGCGCAGCAATGGGTAGCCAATTAGGTCCTGTTCCCGCTGATTTCATCATGCTGATGGTAGAAAGAAGCATTTCTACGAAAATAGCCCAGGTGCCCTACTGCAAACGATACGTCGATGAGATCTTGGCTTTCTGTTCGTCGGATCAGCAGCTCACACGTTTGGTAGAAAGACTCAATGGTGCTCATGCTAACTTAAGGGTTACATGCGAAGTAGAACAGAACAATTGTCTGCCATATCTGGACATACTCATAAATCGCAAGGACGATGGATTGATTAAGATGTTTAGTTACCGAAAATCAAGTTGGTCCGGTCAGTACCTGCACTTCAACAGCTTCACACCAGTGAGATACAAACGGACACTTGTGAAGACTCTAGTTAGTCGTGCCAGAGGAATTTGTTCGGCCGACTGCCTGGACGATGAGCTAGTGTTAATTACAGCAACACTAATGGCGAATGGCTACCCTCGAAGATTTATCGAGAAACACAGCCAACCGCGAGGACCAAAGGGCTTGGTGCACACGGCAGCCAAGAAGAAAGTGAACATCGAGTTACCTTTCAAAGGTGACTTAGCCACGCTGAAGACAACTAAGCGTATAATTTCGGCTACAAAAGGAAGTTACTATGCTGCACAAGTTGTCGTCATCAACCGAACCCGAAATTTGCCCATACCTGCAACGAAAGAAGCTCAGCCTATTGGGGCCAACTCACACTGTGTATAACAATTTGTATGTGAGTGCGGAAACAGTTACATAGGCAGAACTAATAGAGCGCTGACTTCCCGAATAAAGGAACATGTACCAAGATGAGTTCAGCTTGAAGTTGCTCAGATTGCCTATCCTCGTCAGCTTGTGTTCGCGCCGACCACCAGCTTCCTCGATGGACAAACAACTATTAAACTCGGGTCGTCGGATAGAGCTGGACTCAGCAGTTAAAGTTGTGTAACGTCACACTAATCCCCGCTTCCTTCGGTTTGCTGAGGCTGTCGCTATAAGCCGGATGAAGCCAATTTTCTGTGTTCAGAAACAATTAGTTGCCAGCCTAAAGTTGCCTTGGACGTAGGTGTGCACTTCGGTCATTTGTTTTGCACCTAAAGCTTGTCTGGTTGCACCCACTGTTAGCTATATCTATGCATATCGATTATCGCTAATGGTACTAAGGAGACAATACGAAATGCATGCATCTACCAGCCTTCTTAATATTTCCGTACTTTTTATATAGTGATGGTGTTTGGAATGAATCTCAGTTAGGGTCAGTACGAGTTTATGCGGTAACTGCCGCGGCAACTGGGGGAGCTCAGGTGGTTCAGTGCGGCACGACACGACAGAGACAGTAGTGCTATGAGGACAGTTCATTGGGTTCACTTCAGATGTAAGTGCCCTGAGTAGAGCTCAGTTGGTTGCTTGTCGCTTGATGTCAATGTTCTGGGAATGGCTCGGTTGTTACTAGCACAGTCGGAGTCGCCGGATGGTGACTGTGTGTTTCAGTTGGGCTCGACAAAATCTATGCTAGCCCCTTAACAGTCATAAAGGCCTCAAAGGCTCAATGGTCTTCAACGGACGCGGGAGTGAACGTTGTGAACTGAGACGGTAACGATTGTAAAAGTTAACGTAACCTTAATCCCCAAAGTTTTAGAATACAAATGGGTTTTCTATAAGCTTGTATTGTGACAACGTTTCGCCCTAGACCCAAGAGCTTCTTCAGGTCAGGTGAAGGCAACAATCCTAAAGTTGATCGGCCTTACTATTGTGAAGCAATGGCTAAATTTGTCAGCATGAGATGTGCATCCAACGCAACAATGAACCAAAAAGTAACAGAAAAGGAAGCATAATCGAAATCAAGAAGCAGCCCATCACTAGACAGCAATGCGAAGAACGAGACCAACAGCCGATGAACCCGAGGCACCCCCCCCACAAGCCGTATGACAAGAATACAGAAAACGTACCCAAAGAACGACGGTTTATTTCCTCGGTTAATTTGGCCTCAGCTAGAAGTTCCTCCTGTGTTAGACGTCTGACCTCGGGGACGTTCTTTCGTTGCGCGATCTCGGCCAGCATCGCCTCTCGACGCACAGCAGTAGAAGTATTGACTGTTGGCCGGATGTTTTTGTTTCCCCCCTCACTTTCAGATGGCTGAGTGGAGCGCCGACGGAGTACCCTTGGACCTGAAGAGCAAGTGAAAGTGAAAAGTGAGGATCTAAAGAAAACTTGATTTTCTGGACTACCGTATACAAAATGTTGAAACGAACCAAATTGTGCGTCATTTTCCGTGGACAAGGGCGTTTGTCTTTCTTTGGTTCGAGAGGTGCTCCTGGATCGTCGTTCAGCTGCTTGTTCAGAGGTTACGGTGGTCTCAGGCCTGGAGCGTTTCGGTTCCTGTAGTTTAAAACAGGCTGACAGTTATGGACAGAGGAACAGCCAGAGGTGCAGTGATAAATGGTATATAGTTTGTATGAAAGCAAAGCGAAAGGCGAATTTTAAGAGAAAAAGCAATGTTCACAAGCGAATGCACAAGCTTACCTCATAGTACACTAAGACAGGACCGGGTGGTATAAGCGATAAGGTTAAATTAGAACAGAAAAGTCCTAGAAACCGAACGTAAGTATAGAAGGGAGTGGTTTCCTAAAGCCACCGTGCATTCCACAATAGATTTTGCGTTATTTAAAGTCATTATCGGTTATTAATTCGGGCGTATCGTTTCCGTACAAAAGGGGAAGAGAGATCCAGTGTAGGGCTCAAACACCGAGAGTCAAGATGTCAGTCACAAACAACACGCAGTTTAACTCAGTAATTCAGCAATGAACCATGCGCCAAGGTACAGCAAATCCAGCTGCAGTGGCACAGTTCATCAACATAGCAGTAAACACAAAACCGATTAACAGTGAAGCTGAAATAAGTGAGAAAAATCACCAGACGAAGTGATGATGGTGCAGAGCAGTGGTGAATGAATGGAAGAGCGTCACTGCCATTGCGACTGTCCCGTTTGCAGTAAAGTAGCTAACCAGTGATGAATGTGGTCGATCCGAGAAGTCAAGTCAAAATAAACTTTATGTACCAGACTGAGCATATTTTCGGCACCTTTATTACACTAGAACTGCGGATAAAAATTGTGGGTACAAAAAGACTACTTAAACGACAGGCAAATGGTAAAAAAATAAAAACAAAATCTACATAGGTTCACTGAGGCAAAGGTTTACGCGTCGCATCAGTGAGCGTCGTAGAGTTCACTAGAAGACGTGATAAATTAGGCAAAACAGAGAAGGTAAAAAGCGGTGCGAGAATACAAAACCTAAAATTTTGAGCGTGTAGATAAGAAGGAACGAGTTTTTGATAAGTCATCGCGGAGTGGGTGATACGGATCGTTTGAAATCTATCGAGAAAATTTGTGACATGCATCAAAATGCTTGGTAACAATGAAGTCTACAAGAGACGCTCGGCGTAATCCACTGTATTTAGAGATGAGCTTAATCGAACGGATAATAGTTGTAAAGCCTTTCTGAAGAATACTTTGGAAAATAACAGGCGATCAGTACAACCAATGAGGGAGAATAAAAGTAGCAACAAATTTATGGATTAAATAACGTGGTACTGAAAACATCTTGAGTCGCAGGGCATAAAATGATAGTTACCTTAGCTTGCGAAAGTTTCGTCGATGTGTGTAGACCATGTTCACTTTCGGGATAGAAATACACCAAGATACCTAACAGTGAGTGAACTAGGTATAATGCATTCGTTAACAACAATGAGGCTCGAAGCAATGGGTAAAGTTAGACGTTTGTCAAGGGGAAGAGAAAAGGTTAAGTCTATGATGAGGACAAGCTCGCCCAACCCTTTTTGAGGCGCCGAGCATGACTCGTTGGTGTGAAAGAGGTTGCCTAAAACGTCGTCGGCGTATTTACACCCAATAAAACCTGATGAAATAGGAAGTCTCTCGATGTACAAAGGAAACCGGAGGGGAGAGAGGATTGCCCCCCGTAAAAACACCCAGTCGTTACCCAGAGTGGAGGAGGAAGGCGATGGGTACCGATAATACGCGAACTTCCAGTGAATTGGTTCTCATTCATCATTGACCGACAACCTCGGGATTCCACCCAACTGGGTACGGTTTTGGACAAGAGACACCGATGCGTGTTCACTAGTATGCGAAGTACAGGACCGAGCTAACGAAGACGATTCGTGTTCGACAGATGCTCCAGCGGTACTAGACAATTAACTGCAACATTACTTATTCGATTTTCCTGTCACACATGAACAACACTACGCAGGAATAGGAGGCCAACGGTGGTCACTCCCTTAATGTTTCCATTGCGTAGTGGTCACATAGAAGAGAAGGCCAAGTGGCAAATCACCACTCACTGTACCTGTAGACACTGCTATTAAAAACAGCCGATGGATCGGAGCTCAGGTACAATAAACGTTCGCCACTGTTCATGTCTTCGGTGTCAAGCATACATACCATCACCTGGCGCGGTTTCAAGGTGACATAGCTGTGTATGCCTATTGCCTGTAACTAAAACCATATGCGAACTAAAAGCATTATGAAGCAAAGTGTCGAATTCGTGGTAAAAGCAGCCTTGATAACTTCAGGACCGCAGTCGGTGACAAGCGTAAATAGGTAGCGTCTAGCGCTGGCCACTGTGTAGACCGTAATTGATGTTGCCAAATGAACTGCTCAAAGACGGCTGCTCATGAGAATCCAACCAACTAACGGTAAGATAATCTCCTGCGTGCGCCATCGGTTGTTGTAACCATTGAGAGAGGACAAGCTGGGAGCAGTTAGTACAATAGACGGACCGTAGACTGGAGGATCACAAGCGTGCCCTATAATCCGATGGCGCGGGTCTGAGCCTGCGTAGAGAACCGGACGACACTCGCAGTATCCATAGCGCACACGAGATGTTGATTGTTGCGCGGCAGCGAAGCGTCGGCGGACTGCTGACACCTTTACCTTTTAGCTGGTACGATAACCGAGTGAAGTGCTTCGGCTTCGGACACCCAATACACGTTGACACTAAACGAGCATACAAGCGCACTTTGTCGACCTATCGGACATGAATATGAACGTTGAAGTTGTCTAAAAAGAAAGACATTGTGCGTGACAAGAGTGCAATGGGTACCGCATGAAAATATAGCTGCATATAGTAGAACCGCAGTGGTATTGCAGCTGTCTTCAACAAAGTGGGGGAGCGAAGAGGGAAGATCAGTAGTGGGGTTGGGTGGCGTGCAAGAGAAACAGGCGGAAAAGAAGGGAGGCATCAGTAGCAGCATATTATTTTCTCTTACCTACTCTGATGTGTGCAGCAGATAAAGCGATTCCCCTTTGAAACTGCATGAAGGACTATACAGGATGTGGCCGGGAATCGATGATAAATACATACATTCGTGGTTGCAGTTGGATGTGAATATCGAGACAAGCGAACGATAAGGGTCTTCGACCAAGGCTTTTGGTCCAAAAGCCTGAATCCAGGGCAACGGAGAGATGAAAATGATTTTATTCCTAAAAGCAGATGACACCCAGTTCTGACCCACAACCTAGAGGATCCGGAGGTTGCTTATGTCTGACGCCCAACTTATGTGGCAGAAATTGTTCTCAGTGAGTCCGGCTGCACCATTTGGTGTAACACAGTGAGTCAAAGAGGTGCACAAGACGTGTCACCAGGTTAAGGACCACTCTCATCGTGAAGAATAACCGAATAACAAAAGGCATCAGCAGTCAGTACGCCGGTACGCAGTACCGATGCTTTGCTGCCGCGCAACCACCACCAGTCGCATGTGGACTAAGGATACTGTGAGGGTCGCTCTGCCTCTACACAGACTCGAACCCGCGCCGTCAGATTACAAGACAGGCTTGTTATTCTTAGGACTACGGTCATAGTTGGTAACGCAAAAGATACAACTGAATAGAAAAAGTCACAAACGATGGTGCATCACCAGGTAGTCCTAACAAGCACCATAACCACTGAACACCACAAGTACTTAGCCCTTTCATTAAGTGCATAGGAGCTATGATGGTTCGAAGGTCACCACACAGCCGACCAACACACTCACCACTGCTCCGGCAAGTGTGACAACGACCGCCTTGAAACCTCGGTTTACAACCGAGAATCAGGGGTGAAAGTTCTGTCTAACACCAAGGACTGGTCGGGTGAAAGAAATATTACTTGCTTCCGATGTAACAATAAAAAGGTGCAACAGCAGTGTAAAGCATAGTGCATGGATCGCTACCAACAATATACGTTAACTGACGGTGAGAAAAACACTTCCGTTAATGTACCACAACACAAAAACGGGATACTAAACATTACAGACTGCACAAACTAAAAGTAAAGCAAGCAATATCATGCTAAGTAGCACATTATGCATTGAAAATGAAATCGCTCGAAAGGGAAGTTAAAGGGGAGGGTATGGGTAAAGAAGCTCACAATACAAACGCCATTGAGGTCGACTTTTCGCCATAGTTACGAATGTACGCACCACACGTGTTTATCACTTTTCGGACCGCAGCCAGGCAGTCCGTAGACACTAACCGACGCCAAGTTAGCAGTGAGGGTTGTTATTCCTCTTGACAAAGTCAACGCTTGGCTACCTCTCCGCTTTTTCCATCTAGACCCACAGGAGCGCACTATGCTGAAGTCGAAAGGGTTGGCATGTGCAACACGTGGTCCAACCATTGGAGGTTGGTGCGTGATACAATGGTGTTAACCGGTTCACGCGCTCTTCCTACACCAAGTACGCGACGCCGAACACACTCATTGCTCACACGGTGTTCCCACGAGACATGAGCTAAGTTGCGAAGGCAGCGATCATCGAATGTAACTAGCCTCGTTATATCTGTCGTGTTGATAGTCCAGGTTTCGCAATTTTGCAGGAGGGTTGAACGGACGGCTGCATTCTAAACTTTGCCGTTCAGGGCGAAAGTAATGCCACACCGACAACACAGTTGGCGGAGATTGGTAAAAGCGCCTCGAGCTTTTGCCACCCGGTTCATGAGCTCATCTATTCCATGGGTGCCAATATGGTTGGCGTCATCCGGTTTCGGATTTGCCTGTAACTGCGACCATCCACAGGACGCCTGCGCCTACAGAGGGATTATGAGTGGCTTGCGCTGCACCACTCATAGATCCAACCACACACCCTATGTCCGGTGTAAACCCGAAGGAATAAAACCGGGAGGCATGTGGATGGGAGCCACGTTTCATCAACGGAAGCGGCACACACTCCTTCACAGGCAAACACAAGCACGCTGTATTTGGGGATATATTCAATGCAGTACCGAAAATTTTGAGGGGATTTGGTCCTTACTTATCGTATTTTAACGAGAAAGATAGGCTCAGATTCGTCTTGGCTAATCAGTCCCGCTAAGTTACCTAGCCGTCACAGTCGGCCATTGAAACTGCACAAATGAGGCACTGATCGTATTAGGACAGAAACTCACTTGTCACACCGTTATCGCTGTTGTTAGGGAACCTAAAGTCAAGACTTTTGCGCGTCAGCTCGATGCTCTTAGGTGGCAACAGTAAACCTATTCTTTTTCCTAACTAACATATCTTCAGCTTACTGCATTCTTTTTTTGTTCCACACATATATAGTATCATAATAGTTGGCTACCTTCCTCTCCTTGCCTTCAGCTTCCAACTTCTTGGTTTGATGCCTCACATATCTTAGTAGTATAATTTTTGGCCACCTTTCTCCTCTTGTTTTTCGCTTTTACGGTTCCCTCTCTTAGGTTCACGTAACCGGCCCAGCAGCGACTGCTAGTGCAAGATACGTGGGCAGTAATTGGTTGGTCAGGGTGTGATGTGGTCTTCATTTTAATTCCATCAACATTACAAAGCACTTCGTCAACTTCTGGTTCAACGATCCAATGAAGCAGGAACACTCTCACGGGATAACCATGTCGGTCCAGTCCCTGGTGAACTTGAGTGCAATAAAGTCCAATTCCATGTATATATGTACGGATAGTTACACTCGTTGAGCAAAACGGAATACAGAAGCAACATCTATCATTTTTGGTAGTTGCAACTGCCCATTGAATAACAGCAATGATATTGAATTACAGCAATATTACAGCAATATATATGATGAGTTACAGAAATGATTTAGGCAGCATATGCTGCGTAATTCAACTGTTAGGTAACACATAATTTTACCATTACTTATCGTGTATATCGCCAGATGTGTGGAATTGCAATAACATCAGTGGTAGCGGCACGAGAGTGCGTTTAGGTTATCCTGGTAGGGGGGAAATTTGCTATGGCGAGCTCCAATATAGCTGCCTAATTATTTACAACCCTGAGCGAACACCACCAACACCCTCAAGACTCAACGTAGGAGTAGGTCCCTGCTAATATTGGAAAAGGACTGCATTTCGATGGTGCAACGCATGGCACAAACCGATTGACAGTCAGTGCTATTTCGTCCAGTGCTGATTGGTCCGTTCAGGAGCTGTCAGACATGAGGACAATGTCGCTCACCTAGAAGCAGCTCCACACCTTCTAAGTCGTGTCCATGGCTTCGTCAATGGCGAAGTCAAAGAAAAATGGTGACATCCAGCAACCTTGCCTCATGACAGTGGGTAGATTGAATGGCGGCGACAGTTTGCTACAAACCCTCACTCTGTTAGAACCATGCACATCTGTATATTAATTGGGCACTTTCCTCAGCAGCCTGTCACTCCCCTAAAATCAGAGGCCATAAGTGCACTGGCCGAGGACCGGCAGACTAATTAGTTACATAGGCAGCTAGAATGTTTGCATCGCGGTTTGTCGAGATACAGCTGCAATTGTATTGGACGACAGAGATGGGACCATGATTGGTTGGGGATCGAGGTGTACGTGGTTCAAGAGATGAAACAACCCGAACCCGATTAGTCATACAACAGAGTGAAAGACGCAAAAATACTTTGAGTTAAAAAGTAACAAGCACGAGCAAGGCGATAAAGTAAAACGGCAAGAAAATGAGTCCAAAATGCTAACTAGAAGAACAGCGTGAGCAGAGAAGCCTAGACCAACGAGATACTGATCAGAGTGATATCCATTGATGGAGCGACAAATCAGCACAGTGCTACATGTTCAGGAAGGAATCTTCCATGTAGAAACATCTCATTTAGATCTGCGAAGACAGATGGAATTGCATTCGGAAACTGGAGAGGGTACCGCCAACACTGGCAACATAGGAAAGTACCTTATAAGCTTTGGTCACTAACTCTCCTGTACGACGTTTCTTCCTTGGTTTATCTTCGTCTTCTTCAGAGGCTTCTTCATCTGACTCCTCTTCGCCGGATTCATCAAAATCTGAATCGACGCTGTCTTCTACTGAACTCTCGGATTCATAGTCAACATCATCAGCCTCCTGTGGAATAAGGTTGAGAAATAATTGATTGCAATGAGCGACAAATCATTAAGAGACAAAGTAGAGGAAAGGATCAGTTTAAAGGATTATAGGCGGTTTATGACGAATGCAATGGATGCGGTGGGAACCCAGATGCAGACGACAGAACGCCAATGGAATTGCAGCTACCGTCAACTATGCTAGGGATTGCAGAGAGGTCAACAATTGGAGTGCAGTTGGGTGCAAGATATACACGCGGAAAAAAGAGCAGGCCCCAGTAGGAAATTAGTTTCACTCATCATGTATGCAGCAGATAGAGGTGGCAGAAAATCAATGCATCAAAATACCAACGGTGATGGCTGGGATGATATCGTTTCTTTCATATCTGCTCCAACAGGTGGGTCAGCGGTTCGCAAAAGACCTCATCACAACGCTTAACTAATTCAGGTGCATGGGAATTCGGTAAAAGCGAATGGCCGCAAATCGCAAAGCAAAACAACGAATGAAGACAGATAAGCAGAAAGTAGACAGTGTCAATGTATGTGGAGAGCATCCGATGGGGATATCGGAAGCAACGAGTGTTCAATTATTCATATTACTGGCGTCTGTAATGTTGTGCTGTGTTGAATGGAGGATAGAAAGGAGCACTCATACAAGGTGGGGCTTGAGATCATGGCAGCGAATATTTTATATTTATAGCAGTGGTCGGAATCCAAGTGAAAATTTCGGACGTGTAATGCATTCGTCTGCCAATGAGCAACCAGTAAGGAATGAGTGGTGCATCAAAGACAACCTCCAAAAGTGTGACGCAGGGTTTTAGATTTGACTCGGTTACTAAAATACCCAAAGGACTATAGACTTCATTATAAAATGAGGCAAAAAATAAAAGTTGCTTTCCAAGAAACCAAAAAAGGAGCATAATGGGGGGTGGACTGCTCAATTCAAAAAGAGAACGTGCAGAGAACGACCGAGAAGAGTACAAGAACACGTAGCAGCGACAAAAGACGCGACCATGGAATCCAAGAAACATTCGCGAACCATGTGGGGTGACCACAAACAGTCTAGAAATGCATATGTAATTCGCACAAGGTTGATGTGCAAACAAAAGAGAAATTGTTGAGTAACCGAGGATAATGTTTCAGACCTCGTGCATGAGTCAAAGCAAATACACTATCGATTTTAGCAACAAGAGTTTGTGAACGAACCTCAGAAAAGCCTCCGTAGACATTGGTGTAGAATTCGTCGTCTTCCGCCTCGTTCAACAACTTGGCCATTCGTGACCCAGCATTGGAACGACGCTCTCGGTCAACGCAAAGCGGCATTGCGCCTGAATAGACAATCCGTTCTGTGCTGAAAATAGACATGAGCAATGAGAATTCAAGAAAAGTTCCTTTTAAGAATAGGGGAGAATAGCGCTTCGATTGGTGCAGAAACGTCTGCCACTTTCGTAAGGAGTTGGAGCTGTGTTGTCTGGGGAAGCATTGGTCTCGACATCTGCACTATAGTCAACACCACCGAGAAGCACTTTAACCAAGTGCAAAGCAATATTGGTGACGAGTCCATCAGCAAATCTGAGATAGAGCAAAAAACTAGTTCAAAGCATTTCCCAAGAAGCAGCGGTTCTGTAAACGAGTATACCGAAAGATCACGTTTAAAATGTGATGGATGAATGGTTATACAATCCGGACACTCTGATTCCCTGGACAAACAAAGAGTCCCAGCGAGAAGTCTAACAGACCCCTCTTGTATTTCAGGAGGTTCTGTAAAAAAATGAAGACTGGAAAAGTATCATGAAGCATGCCTCAGTCGCTGCGTATGATGTTCCAGTCCAGCGCATGCAGAACTAACGCTCACAATAACAGCGTAGTAAAGAGCCCGTAGCAAAATATGCGCAGGACAAAAACACGCCACACCGGTACACCGTCATTTTCGTACAGTGTGTACGAATCAGCTAAAGCCAGTCTACTCAGTGGGTTGATGAGCGATAGTCAAACCTGCACGCGCGTACTTAAGAGCGGTCAATGAGCAGTGCAAGTCGGTCGATCGGTGGCGGTGACGCGAGTGCCACTGTAACTCCGGTGACAAGTAACATAATAGCATTCCTTCAGATCACGATCCTCAGGTGCGCGGATGCTGGAGGTCCACCATATGTGAACGACCACAAATCGAACTAATAATGACAATGGGTTCCCATAGTCCCACCCATACACGGTGCATGGGACAGATAAAGTGTACTCAGAGCCGATATGGTTAATGGAAGGGGTGTAAAGCAACGGCCAGTGGTATCCAAGTGACCTTACGTCCGGTGGAAGGAAGTTCAACGCCTCATGAAGGAGAGGAGCAAAAGTAAGAGGAGAGTGCTAGAGCCGCCGGTAGATAAATGCACGTTTGATGGTTTCACCAGTGGGATTAAAGACATTCAAACACGCAATCAGATGGATAGAGAGAACAATGACATTGCTACCTCCATGTCTGAAGTTGTCTACGATCGACCTATACATCATTTTGAACATATCAGCTGATTGATCGCGAAGCTTCCGGTATAACAAAAAAATCAAGAGTCAATATGACCCCGACGTCACTTCAGCATTGTCACCAATGGCTGGGGGTGTTTGTCAGTGTGGAGACATGACACCGGAGGCGAATCGTGGAAATGTCCGCGTTGCACTCATTTGTATACGTTTTTCTGCCTGAAAACTAAGTCTTCTATCTGTTCCGCCCATGTAATTGACGAAGCAGCCCCAGATGAACTGAATACGCCGGGGGTAGTTCGAATTAATTGTTCTTTCACTGAGTCATCCGCAATTTCGGTTTACAACAACAAATAAAGGGACTTAGTCGCCTCTACGCGTCGAGGGCTGTATGCTTCGTTGCCCTCGACGACACCATTAAACCCAAACAAAATCAGAACAGCGGTATGGTAGTAGGAAAACTTTAGTAGCAAGCGTGAGACGGTACACGCTACTCAGCACATGTCAGCAGGTAAAAACTGTCTGCAACGATAGTCACATGGGCGCGAGAAGAAGTTCCAGTTCGAAGCGAACCAATGGCGGACACTGATTCGTTGTCACACAAACACGTAGGCACATAGGTACATCCGTTACTAAGCAGTAGGCTTTCCAGCTGAATAGCAGCGCATAGACTTGGAACGACCAATTACCGTATCACCCCTCCTCCCTTTAGACGAGCTAAACGGCCTCGAAGCAGTCGCCTGATGGTCGTTGACGATTAGAACGACGTAACAAAGGGTCAGCTACTGATTGTGCGTCAGTCCTCTGCATATCGGTCGGTGATTGGAATGACAGATTTGGTTCAGCACTTGTTTCTCGGTTCGACATTCTTGGCCGCACATGGTCCAAATGACGACTCACGATCCGGCCATCCTCAATTTCTGCTTCTACGATCTGTCCGTTGGTTGTTTTTACAACGACCAGCTCCCACCCAGAGTTTGTAAATAAACGGACTTAAACTGGATCTGACTCTGTCACAATTCGGTCCCAGCTGCAAGTACCAAAATGCTTTTTGCCCCGTTGTTGCCTTACAGTAACTTATAACTCAATGGTCCCATGCAGTAAATCTAACCGTGTACACAACCGTCGACCGGACATTAACTCTGCCTGACTTCTACCGGTTGTCTCGTTTGGCATGTTCCGGAACGCGAACAGGGAACGATCCAAACGCACATGCAGTGGAGCATTTAGCTGTTTTGTTAACGGATTTATCACTGCCTGTACCTCCCTCTCTGCCAACCCGTTGGAAGATAAGGTGCAGTAGTTATGTGTCTAGGGCCGTTCGAGCGAAGAAAATTGGAAAACTCGGCACTGGAAAACAATGGTCCATTGTCAGAAACTAGTGTTTCGGGGAGACCAAACATCGGGAACGTTGTGCGCAGTTTAGTTACGGTGCTAGCTGAAATTGCGGAGACCATAATGTGGGCTTCAATCCATTTAACATGGACGTCAACTAACAATAAAATGATCTGACCCTCGAAAGGACCGAATAAGTCTACGTGGACGTATCTCCAGGGTGTTTCTCGTCACTTCTAAGGCTGCAGTGGCGCATAGGAGTGGCGTTTCGGTTTTCCTGACAGGGTCTGCAAGTTCTAACCTTCGGTGCAATGTCATCGTCCAAATCGGGCCACCACACATAAACGCGAGCTAGTGACTTCATTTTGGCAACTCCTGGATGCGCATCATTTAATTCATCAAGGATATGTCACCGAAGTATTTTGGTGACTATAACTTGTGCGCCCCATAGTAAACATCCGTTCTGGAAACTGAGCTCAGACATCCTATTACGGAAAAGGCATGAGTTCTTTTGATGTGTTATATGGCCATTCGACTTGAGCGTAGCGTTTCACCAGCGCTAAAACTGGATCTCTATCAGTCTCCTGACGGATGTCCGTTGACGTGACCGAGGAATCATTGAGATGCTGAATCAAGTTTACAAGCTTTTGTGGAGTAAATTCCTCCGAAGGTATCTCTGGTAAAGGAAGTCGACTAAGAACATCAGCTTTGGCATGTTGCCGGCCGGGAACGTACTAGATTTTATATCTATATGCAGCGAGAATGAGAGCCATCATTCTGGGTGTAGCCATTCGTTGAATCCCCTTCTCTGGGCCAAGGAGGGAAATAAGAGGTTTATGGTCTGTTCAGATCACGAAGGGTCAGCCAAGTAAATATTGGTGAAATCGGTTAGTACCGAAGATCACCGTTGCCGCCTATCGAGCAAGCTGCGAGTAATTTCGTTCTGCTGCTGTCAGTGTTCTTAAAGTATAAGCAATGGGTCGCTGGTAATCCTATGGTAATTCGTGCAGTAAAACAGCTCCAAGACCGTATGGTGACGCATTACAAGAGAGAATAACAGGTTTTTGCGGGTCATAATGCATAAGAACGTTTGCAGATGCCAATAGATGTTTAACTGCCGTGGAAACAACTTCCTGAATCCTGTTTCACTTTCAAGTTTGGTTTTTACGAAGGAGTTAATGAAGCGGATGTGGATGTGAACTTTGAAAACTGGGTAACGGCATCCAAGAACGACCGCAGTTCACTAGCATATTTTGGTGCTGGCGCTTCAAGTAGCGCTTTCGTCTTTTTTATGGGTACAATCTCCGTGAGAAACGAAACCAAAGGTACTGTACACTCGGCACAAGAAATTCATACTTGTCCTTCTATAAAACCAACCCAGCGTCTGATAATCGCTTCAGGACGACATCCAAAGTATGCAAGTGTTCGGCGATAGTACGTCCAGTAACCACGATGTCATCTAAGTATGCATATGTGTTTGGTATGTCCTTCACCAGTGTGTCAATAATACGCTGAAATATAGCCGAGGATGAGCTTATCCCAAAGGTCATGCGTGTATAGCGGAATAATAAAATGTGAGTGCTGATGGTGGTGCATGCACGTGATTCTTCGTCAAGCTCAAGTTGTTGGTAGGCGTGGCTCAGATCTAGTTTGGTAAAAAGCTCACCACAGGAGAGAGAAGTGTAAATGTATTCAATCTTTGGCAGCGGATATCTGTCTAGCTGTAATGCCTGGTTGATCGTAACCTCCTGGTCCCCACAGATTCTTGAGGCACCACAGCTCTTCAATACTGACACTATAGGGGCTGCCCAGTCCGAATATGGAACGTACGCTCCAGCTGGAGTCGGTGCAACTCACTCTCGACTTTATCACGAAGAGCATAGGGAACACACCGAGCTTTCAGAACCTAGGTATCGCCTGTGATTTCAACACTAGATGACCAATGTAATTTTTCACAAGGTCATGTCTAGACTCATCGAACAAAACCGCATGTTACTGCAAGATATCAGTTAACTGTGCATGGGTGTCCGCCAAGTTAACGTTGGGCATGATACAGGGAAGACGTTTAACTCCGTCACGACCAAGTATGTTGGGTCCACGTCTTCCAGAAACGTACACACACATATGATCCGTTGAATTATGGTAGAGATGCGTGCTAAAAATGTGCCCAGCACCTTCACCATCTGTGCCTTGAGAGATCGCAAATGTATACTTGGTGTATCTAACTTTGGGAGCTGTGATAAGGCATCCGGTCGTATTAGGATAACTGCGGAACCGGTATCGATTTCGGAATCCACAGGTTGCCCGTTCATCTTGACAGCTATATGAAAGAAGGCTTTTCCGACGTTATGTTGCGATTAAAAACAGTTGTGGTATTGATCCAGTTCTGGTGTAAGTTCTCGGTGATGCAGTTTGTAGCGTTATGTTGCTCAGACGTAAATGTTTTCAGCTTGGAAAGATATACTTTCTGGATATGACCTTTTTTATCACGGAATCTGCACACTGAATGAAGGTGCTTACAGTCAGTTGAGGTCGAATGACGTTCATCGCAGCGAGAA